AAGTAGTGACATTTTAATTAATAAAATATTCCCTCCTTAGCTCTACCCTTTTTCTCATTGTTGGGAGGACTTTAGTTTAATAGGTGAGATACTCACAATCTCAATTGCCCACCACTCATGATGAATTTGAGGTGGTAGAATACACTGAACTGCTTCTTAGATAATCAGAGAAGTATTAAAATCAGGAGCACAATCTAGAGCTGACTTTGCTAGTGTACCCTGAATTGATGATCCAGGTTAAGTACATACATAATAAGTGATTGATGCCTCAGCAAGTCAAAATGATGTAGCACTTATTATGTAAGAAGTGGCTGAGGGACATGTTAGGCACAGGATCAACTGAATTGCATAAATATTAGCTATTTTTAAGCAATGGGGGTCAAAGGTTATGAATGTGAATTTTCATAGCCTTTCTTCATATTAACCTTTCACACCCTCTAGAAGAGTCTTCTTTCTCATCTTCCTTTCTGGTAGAGACAGACAAAAAAGCAATACTGAAAGGAGTACACTCCATACAGTGGAGAGAAGCAAACAGCAAAAGCAAAAAATGTCTTAGGAGAAGAAAGATTTAGAAAGTTTTTGCTACACAAGAGTATGCAGATTAATATGCAGTTATCTGTTTCTGGAGATGAGGATGAAAATGATGATGTGATAATGGCAGGCTGTATTTTATTGTACTACCATTTGATCGTATTACCATTTCGTAAGATGCAAGTAAAGCCTGAAACTCTTCAAAAATTATCCTTGGCTACTTAGATTATATTTTTCTGAAAAGGACTCTGTGCTGATGGATCATGTAGTTTCAAGATTTGCATGTGTTAAAATTACTTCAGGACGCTAGTCATTTTTCAGTTACCAGTAGAAATAAATCTCAAAGGAAGAGTTCTGCAGATTCTTGAGATATCAGTGGCCTGTAGGAAATATTCTTCTCCCTGAACAACTGGGTATATGTTGGAGAAAGTTGAGTCTTGTTAAAACATTTTAAAAATAATTAAGCCTAAAATCTATTTTGGATCCATGGGGTAGACTGTCTCATAGAGTGTTTCTAAAGAGAGGTTTTTAAAGTGTAGTTGGATGATCACTCTTCTAAATTGTAACATAAATCATGTAATGAGACATTTGATTTGATGGTTTGTAAAGTTTCCATGATTCTGTAGTTTATTATTACCAATTTAGGCACAAAGAGTTGGTTTATAGTTATCTAATCCAGGTAATAGAGTATTTAGTTTGCTGTCACTAAAACCAGATTCTAGAACTGTAATCTAAATAGAAGGAGGGGAGAGGCAGCCCGATCCAGCAGAAATTGGACTGGGGAGGAAGGGAAAAACAAACTGAAATCTCCCTTCTGGCTTCTTTTAAAACAATGGGTCATTTGTAAGGCAAAGAGCTTTTGAACACGCTGAAGTGTCTTTAGCCTTAAAGAAGGCTATCAAAAGAAGAAGTATCTTCTCTTGTACCTTCTTACAAAAGAAGTATCTTCTCTTGTACCTGCATCCTAAAGAAAATCTATTTTCATAACAATTTGGGAACAGCTGAAATTGTTTCATAATTGTTATGAAACTTGGGGATGGCTGAAACATTTATATTGGTATTGAGCTCCTCACTTGGGGATGATCTAGTGGGTTTAAGATTAAATTGGTCATGGAGCTAAATTTAAAATCTGCCTTTTCCCCAAGAAAACATGAGAGTACTATGATCAGCTTCCTGGGCCTTTCTCATTAGAGGCTGCTGTGCTGACAGTAGAACATCTCTGAGGTGGTGGAGATTTGGGGCAGATTTCAAAAGGTAACAATTTACAGACCAGGACATGTGCTAAATAGGCCTGTCGTTTCTCAACCACCTTGACTGTCCACAATTATGATATGAGGGTGATCCAGTGGCTGAAATTACAGTGATTTTTCAAAAACTCCAGTGTCGAAATTTTGCCTTGACAATATATCTATAACTACTAATAATGTTGTTTTGGGCTGACTCCGTTGCTTTGAAATTGCATGGCCCCATTATGAGTAAATGAGAGGCAACCAATTATCTATAAAATAACGACGTGCACAGAGGAGAGCCTGATGAATTACAAGTGAGCTCTGCTGACACAACAGGGTGTGGAAACCTGCTCTGCTCTGACTTTTCATCAGAATTAGGGGCAATGCTTGCATATTTTACAAACAACATACCCCCTCAATTCTAATGTGGAATGGGAGAGGGGAGGATGGGAAGATGGCAAAATCTTCCCCCAATAGTCACTAGGACACATGCCATTGCTTTAAAATTAAGTAGAAAAACTTCTTGGGTGTATAGAGGCAGAAAATCCAAGTATCAATACTTGCATAAAGAATTACCATCCTCCAGGAAGATGGCAACGTTAGATAAGAAATGCAGGTCTCCTGTCAACTAATGTGATTTAGAACATAGACTAAAAGAGCCACTGCAAATCCCTTATCCCGGAACTCAGTCCAGTGTGTAGGGAGCCAATGCATAAATTCACCTATGCAGAGAGCAGACGCTGAATTCCTGGAACCAAAGGACTGCCAGCCTCATCAAGGATCTGTCAGGTGGTGAGTGAGTCAACTGCAGTTTCATTCAGCAACACTTGGGCTGTTGAGCTCCTTGTGCATGGTGAAGGCAATATCTGTTTCTCACTATTGCTCAAGAAACTGCAATTCAAAGTCATTTTCTGCTAGGCAAAGTATACAGAGAGCAGCTAAAACACCAAAATCTCCTGCTTATATGGGGTTATATGGGAAGATAAAGAGAATTCTTCCGCACAGCTAATCTAATGTTGGTGTTTTGATGGGTTTAAGAGGCTGAGGAGACAGTATATAGCTTCAGAATGTTTACTTCTGTTGTCCTAATGGCACTCTTGCTATGCTAAGGATTCTTTATATGTAAAGAAGATATAGAACATAATACTTAACAAGGAGTTGCTAGGTATATTAGTTTGTTCTCATGGTGATAACAACAACATACCCAAGACTGGGTAATTTAGAAAGGAAAGAGGTTTAATGGACTCACAGTCATGAAGGAAGGCAAAGGAGGAGCAAAGGCACGTCTTACATGGCAGCAGGCAAGATAGCATATGCAGGGGAACTGCCCTTTATAAAACCAACAGATCTCGTGAGATGTATTCACTATCATGAGAACAGCATGGGAAAGACCCTCCCCCATGATTCAATTACCTTCCACTGGTTCCCTCTCATGTGGGGACTATGGGAGCTACAATTCAAGATGAGATCTGGGTGGGGACACAGCCAAATCATATAACTAGGTATGGGGACACAGCCAAATCATATAACCCAAATATTAAGTCAGGAGCAGTTTCTGGTATTATAGTCCGTTTTCTTATATAGGGCATCTCTGGATATAGGAGTTCACATTTTTCTCTGCAACCTGTTCGTTTTAAAGATAGACTATTGGCAAGCAAAACGTCAAGGGCAAGCACTGAGATTTGACCCATCAGTCCTTTGGAAGCTGACTCTTTGGTTTTCCCTCATGTACCTTGTCTTCTTGCTATGCCTGGGGGGGAAAAAAGTAATACTGGCTTAGGTTGGAAAAAAAGTAGTACTGGCTTAGGGTCTACAGCCAGTTTGCTCTAGGCTAAGATCTGGCCTCTACTGCTGTTTGTCCAAAATTGGGAGTCATATTCCTGTTTAAGACAATCTTAAGTGATCTACATTGAATATCTGACTGGGTTATTCTGTTTAGTCCTTCTGAATATGCCAAATGGAGAGTTTCTGTTTGGTGCTAGAATTAAATGCCTCTCTAATGGTGGCTAGCCTCACTTTTTAACAGAGAGACTGAATCCCAGTCCTAGTAGCTAAGGCAAGCAGCTATGCAGAGCTGGAAATCATCAGCATCATCTTTCTCTGTTTATGTTTATGCTTAACTTCTAATTACAAGTAGTACTTACTTTTTATTAAGGCTGAGATATAAAGTTTAAGATGAAAGTACTAAAATTTAAAAAGCAAATCAAGTAAATAATGCTCTAGGTGGTCCACAAAGAAAAATCATGACAAAATGGGAATGAATGCAATTTGGGAAACACTGTATGTGCCCAAGGTCCTGTTCATTTAGGTATGTTGTCAGATGGTAAAGGAAAGAAAGAGGGAGGGCAGCCCAGGCAGGAACCATCATGATCTGAAAAACTTGCAGGTAGAACAAAGTTGGTTGAGGAATCCAGGCCCATTTTGGTTTTTGCTACCTGGCTGTAGTGTGACCAGGGAGGCAGGTGCTGGACAGGGTTGTATTAACAAGACAGGTAAGAAAGCCCAGCAGGGGAGGAGGTAGGAGGTCCTCAAGGCAGATATAGGCCAGCAGATAAGGTGAGGAGACTAAACAGAATATTTGGAGGGTACAAGAAGGGGTGGGACAGGGAGAAGGAAGTGGCTAGAGAGGTGGTGAGCTCTTTTATCAAGGAGGGCAGGACACAGACTAGGAGAATGGTCTTTAGGGTGGGACTGCCTGGGTTCAAATCTGATCTTTGCTACTTACCATTGGCCTTGAACTAGTACTTAACATCCCTAAGCCTTAGTTTTCTCATCACTTGCAAGACGACAGGACAATAACAGAGTCTACATTTTATAAATTCTCAGCAAGTGTTGGCCACCATTATCAATTCCAGGGCTGAGCCCTGCCTCTGTGCACGTTGAGAATTGTGTGGCTTTGCAGAGTGAGCACCATGAATGTGTTTAACTAACTTGCTGCTGAGGGAATAATCAATCACCAAAGCTGGGAAGGCCAAGTCTATGTGAACTTCAGATGAACAATTTTTAAAGTCTAGCTATGTCTAAATGTTTCATAATTGCCCTAATAACAAATTTCAGAGTTTTCCTGAACCACTTGATAAAGTATAAAAATTCAATATGTAGACACATTTTTTTGAAAAGGGAAGGGATGAGTGTCAGAGAAGCAATGGACCAATCCAATGACTGAATTTCCTTAAAAAAAAGTAACTATAACAGGTTTGTTGACTAATGCATGGCAAGTCAATACACCAAGACGCAGGGTTGCAGTAGAGAAGGAAGTTTAATCACAAGGCTGCTGAATAAGGAGACAGGAGGAAACCTCAAGCCTGCCTGTCTGAGCAGTTTAGACCTAGGTATTTAAAAGGGTTTGGAGGGCCGAGGTGGGGGCTCACTGGTTGAAGAATGCAGGATGAAGTCACAGGATGGGGAGATGCAGAAACTGCATTTTCATGCTGATTCGGTTCCTCTGGGGGTGGTCTTCAAAGTGGCTGGCATTAGCCCTTTTGATGGCATTCAGGATCTGAAAAACATCTTAAGCAATTTTTAAACAAAAGCCTTCTAACATCAGAAATCTTTTGTGTAGGAACAATGAGGAGGCAAATGGTCAGCATCTGGTGCTCCATGACTTTTGGCTATGAAGAAGGAGGCCAAAGTGCAGCCTGATTAATGCTTAATTACAACTGTATTTCTGTCCAGAACCCAGCATGTAACTGTTAACCCTGTGAGGATGGTTTCAATAGAATGTTTCCTTTGTCCTTAAAGGGAAGTATATTTAGTCCTATTATACTATAGGTAATGATGACACTGTTGGTAAAATCTTAGGACCCTAAGTTGTTTGCCATCTTGCAACCTATATTATCCACCTGGTCTTAGTTACTACATGTGACTGCTGGGAAGACTGAGGGTGATTTGTTTGGTCTGTGCACAAAAACTCTTAAAGAGAAATACAAATATTACTCAAAAATCCACAGGCACTATGGCAATAGTTTGTGTAACAGGTTAGGGTAAATATCTTTCTGCTAAGATGTACAAGGGAAGTCAATTTCCCTAGAAGACATGAGATGTCAGGCCTCAAGGCAAGACAGAAACAAAACACTGACAAAGCAAAGCCTACAGCAAACTTGGGTAATAAGTTTGAATCTTCTTAAAGCGTCTAGAAAATGCATTCTAAGACAAAATCCTACAATTCAGCAAGCCTTAGGAAAAAGCCTAAAACTTTCTAGCCACTACCTGAAAATACCCACTGCATAGGAAACTCAGGAGAAAAAACTCAGCCTAGGAGGTCAAGTCTGAGGTATTGTCACCCTACTGAAATTTGAACAGGGCACTCTAAAATGACATCCTGGCCTTCATAAGAGGAATAGAAAGAGGTTTGTAGTGATGCCCATAGGCCTATATTCTTAGGTAAACCAGCTGGATCCTGAAAAAATGAGAGATAGAAAGATGACAGTGGAAAAGGTTAACAATAAAATATGAAAGACAGCTTCTGCTATAGCACTTGCCATATTCCCCCAGGCAACTGAGTGCAGAGCTGAGGAAGCTATGACATGGGAGAATGAAATGAGCTTTCTAGAATGCAAGGATCTGAGTGCAAGACCATTATTAGAACAACAATAAGGGGAAAGGTAGTCTGGGTCTTTAAGTAATTAGAACACTCTATAAAGAGGGCTGGGGAGAGAAAGGCCAAGAAACGCACATATATTTGAAACTATCTAATGAAGACTTCTGTTTCAAAGTGAAATCAGAATACGATGAATGTGTTTTCCAGCCAAAACTCATGATCACTAAGTGGCTGATACAATTTTATACAATTCAGTTCACTAATTTTGTTTTTAATTTGTATCTGATCTACTTCTGCAACTTATAACATGAACACACTTACTCACAGGCCAGATGAAGAATTGCCTAATTCTAATTTGGAATTATCTTATTCTAAAAAGGAAAAAAGAAACTATTTAAAGGAACAGGTCTGTAACTGGGGTCCATGGGAGTTTATTAACAGGTTTGCCAGGAAAAATACAAGATAGCAGTTCATTTGAATCTGAGATAAACAAGTAATTTTTTTAGTCTAGATATATGCCAGTTTTTGCATGGCAACCCTGTATTTATAAACAAATTTCAGAGAGAAAGCTCCATTTACATCTCTCTTTAATGCTTTGCTAATTGATTGATTGATTGAGACGGATTCTTGCCCTGTAGTCCAGGCTAGAGTGCAGTGGCCCCATCTCAGCTCACTACAACTTCCATCTCATGGGTTCAAGCAATTCTCGTGCCCCAGCTTCCCGAGTAGCTTGGATTACAGCCGTGAGCCACTGCTCCTGAACATCTTTAACGATTTTTGGTTACAGACCAAACAAAGGCATCACTTTCAGTCATTCCAGAAGTCAACTATGGAAACTGATACTAGAACAGATAATATAGGTTGTGAGTTAGATCTAGCCCCTTAGACACTGTCTAAAAATTTGGAGTAGAAGCATTTTGACAAGGAAATTGGCTATAGTTCTCTTTCTACCAGAGTCTTAAACCTGTGATCTCTTAACAATTAGCCATCATTAATGCAAAGATTAATTCCATCAACCCTTGACTTTTCCCTGTGGCCTGAGCTTCCTAGCCACTGAACCTAAAGGGAAACATGAAGGGCAATTTACCAAGTAGCAACAGAAGAGAGGAGTCCTCCCAGTGAAAGCAGAAGAGTTTGCCCCGGGAGGAGTGGTAGGGAGGCAGAGAAACATGTTTTACAGGGCTTTGCAGACTGACTTGAGCCTGAGGGCCAGGTCACACCCTTAAGTGGGAAGGTTGACCTTTTAAACAAGAAGTTTTGCATGACAAAATGTCAGCTTTGTGAACTTTGGATTCCCAGGAGCACCACTACAGGATAGAGTGGAGAAAGGTGGTGATGGGCTGGGGGTGCTGGCTTGGAAGGGAGTGACAAGAGGCAGGAGAGTTGGAAGAGACTGGGAGACTGGAAATATAGTACTCAAGGGCCACAGTTTTCTCCCGTCCAGCTTTTTGTCCTTTGCAGCCACCACCCCAGGATGCTGGTGAAGGTGTTTTTGTGCATCCCCATTCTGAGAGTGCAACCCCTTTCCTGAGGGCCCTGGGAGGGTCTGGGTGATGAGGAAATGCAGTGTTTACCTGCGTCACTGAAAGTAGACCCGCAGAGCTGCAGCTTCTGCTGCCATTTCCTCCTCTGATCTCCAAGAGGCCGGGGAGTCCTCCTCTTCCTTGTCGTGTTTCTGGAGCTTTGGAGAAGAAAATGGAAGAGGCTCTTTTATAGGCCCTTGGGATCTCTTTGAACAAATATCAGGAGGTTGGGAGAGACTGAACAAAATTTGCAAATTAGAGGCCAGTAGATGTATCTTCAGTTGCCAAAACTTGCAAATGGAGAGGCTTTACAAAAGAATCCATATTTAAATTAATCATTTGCTGCATTGTAATCATCTACTGAGGCTGACAGGGATGATGATCTGATATAGATCTGTGTCCTTGCCCACATCCCATGTCAAATTAGAAGCCCCAGTGTTAGAGGTGGGCCTGGGGGCAAGTGATTGGACCATCTAGGCAGAATTCTCCATTGGGGCTGTTCTCATGATAGTGAGTGAGTCATTGGGGGATCTTATTGTTTAAAAGTGTGTAGCACCTCCCTCTACTTTCGCTTCCTCCTGTTCCAGCCATGTAAGATGTGCCTGCTTTCCCTTCTGCCATGACTGAAAGTTTCCTGAGGCCTCCCCAACCATGCTTTCTGTACAGCCTGAGCAACCCATTAAACTGCTTTTCCTTATAAATTACCCAGCCTCGGGTAGTTCCTCATAGCAGCGCAAGAATGGACTAATACCGGTGATCACAGATTGGGGTGAAGTGGGGGAATGGGGTGCATATGCCATCCCCATAATCTCTACCGCTGTTCTAATTTTCTTATGTTTAATAAATATCATTCATTTATTTTACTTCCTGGATTTTGAAGGCATGGTATTTGCCACCAACACATCTCTCCTTCAAGGTGGCCTGTGGTTTACCTCCTACTCTTTTTGGTTTAAACTTTCTTACGTGAACTTTAAACAGTTTTGTTCAGCGAACCAAATTTATGATAAGGGCCATGAGAACTGAGTAAGTAATAAAAATTTCCATTAAAAGAGGCTTCAAGTAGGAAAACAGTAAAAGAGATTAAATGAGAAAACAACTTACAAAAAATTAACAATTGGTCTTAAAATTAACACTTGAATCCTTTTAAACTCCTCCTCAGATTACAGGTATATTTATCTTAAAAAATTGTGTGTATGTCTCAGATTTACATATAGAGCGAATAAAATTTCAGTTCTATCAGAGAGGATGTTCTCAGAACTCTCTTCCTTAGAAGAGCTCAATTTTCTCCCTTAATCTCCTAGTACGATTGAATTTCATTAACTAAATTTATTGTTCCCGTGTGTGGCTCTATACATTGTAAAATGCTGCAGGTTATTCATTCATTCTTCATGGGAATGCGCAGTATAGTGTTTTGTGTTAAAAGTCATTTGAGATTGAGACAAACTAATAGCACCAATGATAGCAAGCATTAACGATATGAAAGGCGTGCATCATCTTTTTTAATCCTTACAATGACTCATGAAGCGGATGCTATTCAACCCCATGTTATTGTGGAGGAAGCTGAGTTCTGAGGAAGTTCATACCCTGGTCCAAAGATCACCCAGCTACATAGTGGTAGGTGACAGAATTATCCCCAACAACAACTTTTGCCTTTTTGTTTATCCTGAAGGATCTGCAGTGTCCCTAAAGACAATCCCACAGATACTGTTCCTCTCCATTTTGTAAAGGGTTGACTTAACAGTTTAAAATATAGACTTTTTAAAAGTTGATCCTTTAAAAATAATCTTGCCAACTCAGCAAAAAGTCTATCAACTAAAATAATGACGTTTGCCATCTCAGGCCCCAAACTCTAAATCTAACCTAGAGGCCCCTACTCTGGCAGCTCGTAGTAGATGGAGAAATTTCCCCATTTATTTCAGCGCAACGTTGGTACAGAAGGCAAAACAGTGAGGGAACCATAGCCTTGCACTCCAGCTGAGTCTGAGCCTAAATGAGGCTCATTAACATACAACCGGGCCACAGATACGTTTATGAGGGTCATGGATCTTCCCTTCTGAATTTGGCTGCCAGCACACTGGTTTTACATTTTGCCATGTAGATTTAATTCTCCTTAGGAAGAAAAGCACATTAAGAAGTCATTTCCTTCCCTGCAGAGGCAAACATGCTGCAGTTGCTACAGGCAAGTGAAACGGGATTGCCATTCTTCTACTCAAGAGCTAATTTTCATTTTGATACTACCTTGAGCTCTGTTATAAATCCATCTTGTAACAATTCGACAGGATGACAAAGAGACATGCAAAACCCAGGAAATATGGCCTTCCCACTTCTGCTACTGCCATTGGAAGACACAGAAATCAAGCATTAAGTGGTCTCATCAACAGAGATCATGCCAGATGAATCCAAATAATTTAGAGCCTGTGAATGTTAATGCCTTCCTGATTATTAGGCGACCGTCTGTTATTGTCGTATGCCTTACAGATGGTAACATTGTGCCAATCTTTAGAAGTTGTTTATGGGAAGTAGGAAATAATAAAACAAAAACTAATCATCTTTGCAAAAACTCTGTTGTACATAGCTTTTAAAAGTTATTAGATTTCTCTCTTAAAAGCCCCAGATGGAAGCATGTAGTTCTGTTTAGAACGGCGGTGCTCAACCCTGGTTGCCCACCGTAATCATCTAGGAAGCTTTAAAAAATAAAACCCACCCCAGGGCTTCTGATTTAATTGGTCTGGGGTAGGCTGGGTTTGGGAATTTAAAACCAAGGTTCTCAGCCAGATCTAAGGTGCACTTATTGTTGAGAATCACTGCTGGTGGGAGAAGTGTGTAGATAGAGCCCACATACATATAGAAATAATACGTTTGCCTTTAAGCACATTGCTTGTGATCCTATCAACAGTATAACTGCTGTCCTTTGCAAGCCTTGCTCTGGAACTGCTTTTCTTCAGTTTATGCTCTGTCCACAGGATGTCTGGGCTACAAGGCTTGTCTTTGCAGCACTAAGATGCGGATGCAGTTCTGGAGCGTTTGAATGGATTTTTAATCTCTGCAGAAATAGGGAGTCTGGGAAAGGCCCTGGTGGGCAAGACTTGTGTCCTAGAAGATCCATCCAGGTAACTTGAAGATTAAAAATGCTACAGTTTGAAGTAAAGTTCCATTTCCCTAAAGCAATCTAAGAACCTGGTGGCTGCAACTTCTTGCCTGGCTAACAGAAAGAAAGCTCTAATGATCTTATATAGTAGTTTATCCAAAAGACACTATTTGCCATGGGTGAACTTTAATGGAGGAGTTTCACTTCTGATAAGCCTTCCAGATTACTTTGGCTGTCCACAGGGGAGGGCGGTGACTACTTGTTAACACACCAGACATTTGCTCTGTCCCTGTAATGCCAGCGGCCAGACCTAGCATTGGAACACTGAACCAGACTCCTTTATTGTTCTCCTGGGACACACAGGTAGGGAGGGTAGACACCAAATGGCCAATTCTTAGTGAGATGGGATTACCAAATGGGAAGGGTGCTGGATAGAGCTGCCCTCACTGCAAAGGCTTTTGAGTATCACCTTGGTTTCACAAAAAAACTTATGATAAAGAGTGATGGAGGGAGAGAGGTTATCTATGGATCATCCAGAAATGGCTCTCCAACAAGGCGAGAGTTAGGTCTGAGCTTGAACAATGAGAAGAACAAGTTCCTTTTGTCTGGTAGAGGACTTTTGGCCCCGTTCCCCAGCCATGTGGAAAGGGCCTAATTCCCGAAAAGGAAGGCCCTTCCTCCCC